CCTCTATGCCCCCAGGAGCTGCCCAGGTGAAAGGGGCCATCTGCACAGACAAGCCCGTCCTGTTGCAGCAGGTGGCCCCAGGCCAGTCTGTCCCTGCACTCGGTGGCTCTGGAGGACTCGAGCAAGGCCACCAGAACGGACACTTGGGCACGTTGCCAGCTTTGGCGCCACCACCCCCTCCAGTGCCAGCAGCTTGAGCTGGTTTTTCACGTGCAGCAAAGACCCCTGAACTGGGTGTTTCTGAACTGGAAGAGTTTCACTCGGGGCAGGCACCTCCCTGCCTCCTCTGACACCAACAGTTCCCTTGTGCAGCCCAGCCCCGGGCCCCTGGTGGTTTCTCATCCACAGAAATCTCAATAAATATCTCAACTGGCGTTTATCATGGCTTTGTCTCCTGGGCCTTCACTCCCTCTTTTTTCTCTCTACATCTCTCCTGCACTGGCTTCTGTCCCCTTGTTCTAGCTCATATATCAGGATGTCCCTTGTGGGATGGACACTGCTTTTCCTTGTCCTAGTTTTGGACCATGGCCTTCTTCAAAAGGAGGCAACTCAAGTAATAAAGCTGGGTGAAGCTGTTTTTTGGATGCCAGATAGAAAGGGTAACTGGACAGTCCTTGCTGACCAAAATTGTGTGGGACAGTCTGTTTGTAAGCTCCACTTCGGCATTTCCGGATATGGAATTGTTGCTTGTTGTCACCAGACTCATTGCACTTTCACACAGCAAGTTATTCATATTGGGCATAACGCCAAGCATACAGCTGCATCCCGAATGAACCGTTCCTGTAATCTTTTCAAGTGAAGAATTACATCTCCCATTTTTACTGGATATTGGATAATTAGATATATGCAACATGGTTGCGTACTTCTTTCTGGAAATCCCACTGTGGACAGTAGAGCTGTGCATAGTTATTTTATGGATCCTACTGGAAATATTTTTAGTGTACAATGTGATCACACTCATGGAAATATTCTAGACAGCAGTGGGACTTGGTACAATCAAACCTGTGGCAACTGTACTGGATCTGTTTTTATGATGGAGACCACGTGCTGGACATCTGGAATTGTTGAAGTCAGTGCATCATTGAATTTGGAGGGTTGGTAGGAAATAATCATGCCATATGCATTTAAAGATATGTTTTTAATCATAACTGTGTCTGTTCCCAAGGTATTTCCTAGTGGACCTGTGTGTGTTTAAATGAATCAGAAACAAACATTGATTATTGGGACTAAATGGTAAACCTTTAAGAATTGGATAGTGTCTTGAGGTACAGCAGACGTTGATACTGTCTATGCACCTCAGACCGAAAAAAGGTCTATCATCTCTGAATGTGGCAGCAACTGGAGTGGGAGTGTTCAATTGCCTGGATTTAGGAGTGTTATGGAATAAATTATCTTGAGTAGTGGATTGAGTAGATGACTTATCTTTTCTGATCAATGACTCCTTTTGTGGTTCAGCTTACCGTTATGGCTGAGGTCTAAAATTCTGCCACAATGGGAGGAACTGAGTTGGATTACCAGATTATTATAGAGGCCATGAATATACAGGAAATTGATATATCATTAGCTCTGCCTGCATCCAGGAACAAGTTTAGGTACAAACTATTATAGCAGGAATACTGAGACAAGGATATAGTGGCATAATATAGTGGCAGAGCTGCTGCGTACCATTGATCCACAATTGGTTGCCCCCAGTAGGCATCAAGTTGCAGTGTCTGTGGCACCTGGTACTGAAGCCTGATCAGGATGATATATGGTGATGGCAGTGCTCTGATAAACATAGCATCAGTCAGAGGAATGGTAGACCCAACTCTCTTTGTTTTGGTACTGTTAATGTTTATGTACTGCGAAAGTTATAAGCCGTGATCCTGGTTTTCTCTGTTTAAAAATTGCATGTTCCCTGATAAAATTCCCAGCCTTGCTCCATCCCTGCTCCTACCCTCCCTCAGACTACCTTTTGCCCAAGATAGTTCAGTTGTATGTCCTCACTGCGAGACCCGATTCATGGCTTGTATTGCTTGGCTGCTTAACAGTAGATGGCAGTCTTGAGTGTCGACCACTCTGAATTCCAGGCTGTTGTTTTCTGCTCACTGGATGGTATCACTGAGAACGTGCATTTCCCCAGTGCTGGTAGAGCTGCTTTGTGGTAAATCCCCAGAACCTGCTCATGTTCCTCCAACCTGAAAGCCTTGCTGGGCAAAATCTGGCTCTGCAATCCAGCTGGGAGCTGGCTGGCTGGTGCTCCATCTGCATGAAGTGCCCAGTATTCAGTGTCTGGCAAGGGGCGCATTGTACTGAGGGCTGCTGGTCCAGCCTAAGCACATGGGCCGCTTGCACATGTGATGAAGATTGCCCTTTTGTGTCTTAATGGCATTACACTTTACACATATGCAAGTTTTTGGCAATTTAAATGAGTTTGCATCATCATCAAATAGTCCCCATCCAATGTAGTTCAGGTTGTACTGATGCACTTTGCAATGGTGCAGCCATCCATCTGTCACATGTACGTGGTAATAACCTGAATGATGTGTGGCGACCCCCTTTGTCCATCGGATGTCACTACCATTTTTGTGTAGTGGGCCCCCTTATCCGTCAAATGTCATTACAATTTGCAGGTATTTGTGGGTAATTAATGTTTTAGGACACCAGGGGTAGCCCTCGTGAATGCTGCTGACTGGCACTGAAATTTGCAACAGTCGCAGAACATAGTTCTTGCACGTGAAAATCCCCAGACTTTGCCTGGGAGCAGCCGCGACGAACCCACCTGCTCCACTCCCCCCTGCACTTCTTAAACAACACTTTTCAGCTGGCTGCAGAGTAATTGTCCCCCTATCACCATTAATTCACTCACTGGTTTTACATAAACCCAACAAGCAGAGTTCTGTGAACCCGCATGAGCCTTAGGCATGCCTGCTTTGTGAATGGTGGGTGAGTTCGGTCAGCAGTCATTCCTTCACCGGCTGTATCTGAACTGCCCAGGCCATGTCAAGACACATGGGTATTTGCAGGTATTTGTGTGCAATGAATGTTTTAGGACACCCTTGGCAGGCCAGGGGGGAGCCCTGGAGACGGCTGCTGACTGGTGCCAAAACTTGCAACAGCCTGCTACTGTGCCATGGCATACACAGGACTCAAAGACCTAGCATGGCTAAAAGCAGTCTAGGACAAGTATACCCATAAGATACAAAGTGACCCTGCCTGCGAATAGCGCACTGAGCATTTCATGAGATTCAAGACCAATGGTGTGTACACAGTGCCGGAAAAAATAAAACCCCCTGTGTCACTGTGATTCTCTTTCCCAGTGACAGTGACTCTGGATCCAGATATGGCTCAGCCCCAGCTCGTCCTGTCTGTGACTCAGAGAAGTGTGAGACAGGCGGGCACAGGGCAGCATCTACCTCACAATTGCCTTTGAGCCCTGTGTGCTGGGCCATGGAGGATTCCCCATGGGGAGCTACTGCTAGGGGGAGAGGTGTACCATGGGGATCACCAGCGAATATAGGATATGAATTGACCAATGAGGTCTCTAGATTTTGTTGTTGTAGGCAATTCATTGCCACAAGCGGGAACACTGTGTTTCAGGTAAAGGCGGTCTACCCTTGTTGGAAATGTCACGTTGGCTATCTGGCAAGTCATATGTGTAGCCACCATATTAGAATACAAGACAGCTGCCATGAAATCACATTTTGATCCATATTTCAGCCCTAACTAGGGTTAGAAAATTAATTCCAATGATAAAACCAACATTGTATGAACCAAGATCTATCAAAACATTTCCATCATGGTAGCTATATTGGATTCCAAGATGGCTGATGCATTAGCATGCATGTATCAACTCAATGTAATTAAAAAAACCTAGTAAACAATACTCTAATGCTAAACCTCACAAATTCTATCACTACAAATTTCGTAGTAGATCTGCAGTACTGAAAACATTATAACTTAGGCTAGCCTACTTGTTTGAGTTATATTGAATAAGACAATACATGTTTTTAATTTCAGGATGTGAATAAGTCAGCTATTAATAATACATAACTCATAGTCAGTGAAAGACAGATATGTTTGGCCCGAGGCAATAGGTACATATAACATTAATATAATGGGTAATTTCAGTTTTTTAGATCTCTTTATCACTGGAATGCATTTCTGAATCTGTTTCTGAATCCCCATCGTTATCATATGGATTGCAACATGATGTCTCATAATGCTCACTGCCGGGAGTGCATGGCCCATTACCCTGCCTGCACGAGCATGCAGGTCCCTGGCATTCTATCTTGCACTTGCAACTCATTATCCAAAGGTATTCTACTGGTAATGGTTCAACCATGTTTATGATAGGAATGTAGCCATCATTTTCAGCTTGCCAATGACACTGGTTAAGTGATGGCAATGGTGGATAAGGTTCAAGAGCACGTCACCAAAAAAGACTTTCATAGTAGGGCTGTGCGAAGCTTTGTTCCCTGATTCAATTCGACAGAGATTCTGTGGCTGAATCTCTGAATCCAAATCAAATCAGAGGACCCTTTAATCTCTCTGAATCGAATCAGAGCCCTTTGAATCGATTCAGAGCGATTTGGAAAGATTTGGAGATTCGGACATAGACAAAGCTTTAAATGTTTTTTTTCTACATACCTCTAGGTAGCAGGGCTCATGAGTACTGCAATGCTGGGGTGGATGGAGCATCCCACAGGAGCACGGGGGGCTCCCCAGTGCACTTGGCAGCAGACCCAGAAGTGGACCAGAAGCACTTGTTCCCTGGGACATAAAAGTTCCCCCTGCTCTTAATCACATTTACCCCAAATTTCTTGAGCACAGACATGGTTGGTCATATTAGTTTGAAGTCAAGCAGAAGTCAGGGCAGGGAGGCATCTTAGAGACTAACTGGTTCAAAGAGGCATGAGCTTTTGTAGGCAACAGCCTACTTCAAATGCCATGAATATTTAAGAGGCTGTCAGGTTCCATAGCATTTGATGAAGTAGGTTGTTGCCTACAAAAGCTCATCTGGGAAAGAAATAGATACAGTCTAAGCTAAATACCAGATAAAGCAGTTAGTTTTATTTAACCCTGTTATGTAAATGAAGGGGGTCACTTAAGAAGGGAAGTGGCAAGTAAACCTGTGGAACAAGGAGAAATGAACAGAAATCAACTGGCAGTGTCATTCTTTACAGAGCATGGTGTACGTGCCAACGAGTCCTTTGATGGCTGCTGAGTCCACTGCACAAGTGACAGTCCCGCCCACAGGTAGGGCACACTTATGCACTAGCAATGCTCTGAACATGGGCGACTGGTGCCTTCCGAGCCTGGAGGGCACCAGCAGGGCTCAACTGGGTTTGGGGGGAGTCCCCCAGCACCCATCCGGCAACTGGTGGGGGAGGGGATCAAAGTGCCGGCACTTCCGCATGCACCAGGATGGTGGCAGGAGTGCTGCTGGTGGAGCCAATTTCAGGGGGGGCACTAGTGCTCTCCATGCCACCCTAACAGGCAGAGCACTTGCAGTCAGGGGGGGCACCAGCACTCTCGAGGGGCATGTGCCCCCCCGCGCTCCTCCTACACGTCTCCTATGGCTCTGGATCTGAGCAGCAGATTTTTTCCTCCTCCAATGTCAGTCATCACAAAACTTGATCCAGTCTGCCTCCCAGTGCCTCGCTCCATCTGCAAGCTAACTCTGCCAACCAGAGCGGCATTCTGCATTCCTTTCCCAACTGTCCAGAGAGACTCCAAAGGATGCCAAGTCATCTTTGCAAGCATCCCAAAATCTGCACAGCTGTCTGCCTCTCTTTCTAGACCTTTCACAAACTCCAGGTTATGGCACATTTTTCAGGATCCTGTGATCAGGAATTTGCTTGACATGACCAAGCCACTTGAGTCTTTTCTTACTTATCAACATCCCCACGAATGACATACCAGCATGGTTTACCACTCCCACATTTGTCACCCTGTCTTGCCATCTTATTTGAAGACTTTTATGCAGGCATCTGATATGAAAGCTGTTCAGTCTTTTGATACATTTGTCATAGATTGTCCATGTTTCTGAGCCATTTAGAAGAATGGATAAAGAACATGTCTTGTAAATATGGATTTTCCCTTTAGTTGACAGATTGTTATTGTTCCAGGCTCAGTCTTGCAAAAAAACCAAAGTTCCCGGCTGCTTTGTTGATTCCACTAGTGAGCAACTAACAAAAGTAGTTACAGACCAAGCGAACCAACTGAGATAGACAAGCTTAAATATGTGAAAGAATGTGACCATTCAAATGTAAAAGGACTATTCCCACTTGTGAAGCACAGCAAAGTTAGCAAGAGAGGACCGATAAATTGTAACGAGCCATTAATTTAGTTAATCTATGTTAAGTCCATGGTGTTTAGTGTCCAATACATATCTGTTTGCTTTTTGTCCCCGGGCCTGTCTTCTGAAAGCATTGCATTGCCTTCCTCTGAGAACAAGGGCTGTGAGGTCAGAGATGGGGTGGTTCTTCTTGTACAGTGCTCTTCCACTGGTAAGTTGGTGTTTGTTCTTTGTCTTTTTTTCTGTGACAGCTCTTTCTGGGGTGTAGTGGTTGTTTAGTTTCATCAACATAGTTTTTATGAGGGCATTTGATGTATTGAATGAGATGTCTCACGTTCTGTAGTAGGTACATGTAGCATCCATAGATTCTGATAGTTTTATTGTAAGAGGGTTGTTGAATGTGGTGATGGTGGAGATGTATTGACAGCTGTTGAATTTTCTCTTCAGGCACGGTCTTATTCTTCTTGGTGTCTGCTAATCAGAAGTTTGCTTCTTCATATGGTGTCGTAGGTTATAATTATTTCATGATCTTTCATGTCGGTTCTGGCATTTGATATATGTAATAGTGTTGGTTATGGTTAGAAAAAGGTTAGTCTATAAAAAAATGTCAGCACTTTTCCTTGTTTAGGCTTTTCATATTAAATTTACTCTGCTCACAGGTAAAAAGGTAGAGTTTTCACCCTTGTCTGCAGCCCTGTAAACTCCCCCTGGGTATGGAAGTCAAGTCCATATATCAAGTCATGGTATGACTGGTTTTGCAAGTGGAGTGTAGTTGCAATTCTGATGCTGTGTGAGTCAAAAGGGACTCCATCAGCTGTAGGTGGTTGGCACTGCAAGGCTGCAAGTGGAAAGGAATAGGCAGTAGTAAAACCTGTCACTTAAAAAACAGGATTTGTTTGGTAACAGTATCTTATATTGGGCCAGCTATAGCGTTGCGAGTGATGCTGGACAAGCTTTTGAGATGATATTTCTCAGGCCTGGAATCTCTCCCACTTGTATACGTGGACCAATAAAAAATATTACCGAAAAATCCTCTTTCACTCATATTGCCTGGGCCATCATGACATCAACATCACTACAATATTACTGAGGCCATTGATTCCCAAAGGGTGTGCCACAAGTTCCCCTCTGTGTGAAGAGGTAAATGCTCTCCTCCCCAACCTGGCACCCTGCACCTGCCCCTGCTACTCAAGCGGTGCCTGTGGCTGCTCCTCTGGGGACTGCCACTGCTGTTTCTGCCTCCCCCCACCCTTCCCTGCTCCAAGCAGCCCCTATGCCAACCTCTCCCATGCTCCCAGCAGCATGCTCTGGGAGCAGGTGGGCACATGCATGCACAGATGGGGCTGCACTTTGCAGCCCAGCTCATCCCTTCCATTCCTCCCACACTCCTGGGGCTGGCAGGAGTGACCACGGGGGTGGATGCCAGCATGTGAGACCCTGCACTTACCCCCTGAGGTTCAGGCCAGAGGTTAGGAGGTAGAAATAAACAGACAGAGAACATAACCTGAAATAGCCCACTTTATTATGTACTCAAAAGTCCACAGGCAGCACAGGTCCTTCCCTGGGAGCCACAGGGTAAGAGAACAGCTCTCAGTAAATGCTAAGTGTAAGGAGTTCAGCTTCTTTTAAAAAAGTGCCATGTCCCCAGGCCCACACATGCCTTCTCCTGGTAGAAATGCATCCATTCAGGTGCTTCCCTTGTCCACTCACTGTCAGCGGGAACATTTCACGAGAGCTTTGCCAGCTGAACCCCAGCACCTCCCTTGGCACTACGAGCAGAACAGCATTGTTCTTGATGCTCCTTTTGCTGCTTAATAAGAGTTTTATCCCCATAACCTCAGAGCCCGGACGTTGGCCAACAGAACAAACGCCCAGGACTTCCTGTATGTCTGTCATCTCCAGCCAGAGGATTCTGGGAGCTCACCACAGATAGTGATTCTCAGGTGAACAGGCCTACAAAGCATTTTTGACATGGTAATGGCAGCTTTAGTGGGTGGATTTTCCTCTTGGGAACAAGAGCCATTGCCTCTGCTATTACCATCTTCTCCTGCAAGGCACTGAGAAGCCCTGTCTCTACTAGAATATGACTCTGCTTGGTTTATGCAATACCATGTGGAGTTCTCTGTGCTGTCTGGTTGTACTTTCAGCCCAGAAGTGTTGTGTGTGTCTGTTGTTAGTCCTCCCATAGGTTTCCCACAGCATCAGCCTTCCTCCTTTGTGGTACAAAAGTTATATGCAGTTCAGAAGACACAAGAATCACCCCAATCCCTCTGTCCCTGACTCATGATTGTGCATTTGTTGCAGCAGTTATGGTGTTTAAAATGGAGATTGTAAGGTTGAGTTTCAGCTACTCTGAAAACTTCTTCTATGTCTCTCAGATCAAATGCAGTCCTTGGCTTTAGCCATCACTGGGTTTCCTCTGCCCCAAGAGAGGAGAATGCAAGATGCCCTCTACCCTCATCTGTCAAGATGACATAGGCCATAGACGCCAATGTTTCAGTCCATGAGTGTTTTTATCATTTGGGTCTGAACACCTGCTGGAACCTGCTCTGAACCCACTGGAACCTAAACACATGCCTTGGGTAGATGATGCTCTATGGCTAGTTATCCTCAGTTTTGAGTGTGGTAAATATCAATGGCAATTTTATTTCCATTCTCTACAACAGACTAGGCCACCTCTTTCTTTAACCATTTACTAAACCAAGTTGAGTGCCATGAAAATTTCCATAATGAGCCTTCCCTAGTCCCAGGAGGATAAGCCACACCTCCCCCATGGGCTATGGGTTCTGAACCTGAACTTGTCCTAGACGCACATGTTTTCACTACTCCGACTGTAGCTCCTGCATTGTTTTGCACTGGGAGCTGTGTTCTCACACCCCTATGAGTCAGTGTGCGCTCAGCCATCCTGGTTTTCCACTGCATGGTTTGTGTTCTCACATATAACTGAGCATATTTCTGTCATCTAAAAGTGGGAAAGTAGGGGGGGCACCCACTCATTCTTGTGACTGAGTTAATGAAGATGCAGTACACTCTGGAAACACCCGGTTGAAACGGAGTCAGTAAGACCATCTGTGGTGAAAGCTTCCTGAGAGTCACTCACCCCACCAGAGAGGTCACAGTGACCTAGAAGTGGACTGGGGATTACTTCCAGTTAACTGCAGCTTCTGTGAACAGAAGTTCATCCTGGACCATGCCCTGGCATGCATGGAAGAGAGACCATTCATTTGGCCCACATCCTAGGAGGACAAAACTGGGATCTCCAAACTGCCCTTTGGCCCAGCGCACTGGGCACCAGGAGTTTGCGACTAGAGTGTTTTTCCTGCTGACCATGAAGCCTTCAACCCCCATCTCCAGGGGCCGCAGCCACGAGGGGGCAGGTCAGTTTTTGAACATGTCGCAGAGCAGCTTCTCCATGGGCGTGTTCCCAATGGTTCTGCGGAAGAAGAGGAGCTCAATACGATCTGAAGAAATAAACCTCAGTGAGGGAAGGAGCAGGAGCAATTTGCCAAACCTGGAAGAGAACAGAGAGAGTCCATGTGGATTGAGTTAGCTACTACGCACAGGGCAGTGTCCTTGGAGGAAGGTTGTCTGCAGGACAGGGCTTTGATTTTTTAATCTACTGTGCAAATGTAGACTCAGGCAATGGGGTATGATGACATGACAGTGAGTTGGAAAGTGTGCAGAGAACAAGAAAGTTTGCTTCATTGGCATCTGTAGGTTTTTAACACTGGGGAAACAGAATTTCTCCTTTTGCTTTGTGCACCCAGGCCAGCAAAGCATGTGGCTGGAGGCCCATGAAAACACTAATCAGTTTGCCAGGGCATGGACCCACCTCTTTTGGGCAGAACACGAAGGCTGGAGCTGGAAAGCAGGAAGGCAGTTTAGCACACTTCAGGAGCATGACACGATCCATCAACATGAACTGGCAGCAAGTTCCTGCAAGGTCTCCTAGCCACATTTTGAAGCACCACTATTACCTGTGCCCCAGGTGTAAATCGCTGTAAATACCAGTGGGATGAGGATGCAAATGGCTCTTGTGTGGAGGTGGGGAGCTACCAGGAGGAAAGAGTTCCCTTCCTCTGAGGAGGAGGGAAAGGAGGAAAGAGAAGGTTGTTCCTCTCTCTTGGGGTTGCAAACTGGAGAAGATGTTAAAGGTCACACAGGGCAGAAAAGAGCAGGCAGAGTGTAGTGTGTGAGATGTAGGTAGGTATAGAGCCAGGATCCCTGGAGCAAGGTGTGGGAGGACCACCACAACCCAGCAGGAGGTAAGGTTCACACCCTCTGGGAACAAGCCCAGAACAGATGAATTTACCTATTAGATGAGCAGAGAGCTCTGTTCTTTAGAGCTCTCTGCTGACCCAGGGAACACACTATCAGCGAAGTGGACTGGAGGGTGCACGGCCCAAAAACAAGGCTCCAGGCAAATGAAGGAGTACTTCGTAGTGCAGACCAGCTCCTAGGCTGGTTAGAAGGGAGCAATGGATTTGCAAAGGCACTTGTCCTGGGAGGGGGGAAGGTTGTGGGTAACTGAGGAGGTGATGGGTCGCTGGGTCAGAAGGAAGCAGCTGTTGAGAAGCTAGCAGCAAACCTCACATCTGCAGCACCTGCCCACTTACCTGACCGGTTGGCTGGGGTAGTGTGTCCGGTTGTGTTGACCCAACATCACCTGCGACTGATCCTGTAGGTTCTCCACTTGCTCTGGGTCTTTCAGACCTCGTGTCTCTATAGGAAGAGGAAACACGATCAAGGCTATTCATTGGTGCCTGCCTTTACCTTGCAAGATCCTATCCAATAAGCCAACCAAACAATCCACAAACTTCAAGGAGGTGCGAGTCTTTCTCTGGCAGACAAGGTAATTGGGGTAGATGTGATATCTTTTATTAGACCAACTAAATAGTTGGAAAAGTTGTTATTTGCAAGCGTTTGGGTACAAACACCCCTCTTCAGGCTTAGGGAAAGTCAGTCTCTGAGCACTCTTCTGGCCTGGAGCAATGATGCCTCTAACAGGTTAGACAGACACTTGGCTGGGATGGTTTAGTCAGCGATGCTCCTGCCGTGAGCAGGGGGCTGCACTAGATGACCTTGTGAGTTTCTTTTCAGCCTTACTTTCCTAAGATCCTAAGAAGCCCCTCTGCCATGACATAGCTGGCACGGGACTCTTTGCTGTAAGCCTCAGACCGAACCAGCTGGGCAGAGCTCGCTCAGGACCCTCACTCCAGGGATTCCCCTGGCTATAAGCATGGAAGGCCAGTACTGCAGCCACATCCCAGTGGGGAGGTCAGTATGGGTGAGATGGTTCTCAGATCGCGCAGTCCCCCATACTGTGACGGGACCTCTGTCTCTTCCCTGTTCCCTACTAACTAGAAAAGCCTCTCATCTAATAAATCCAACCACATCCTCCAGCAGTGGGGGTGCGGGTTGCTGGCTGAATCATTGAGCTGGCTCTGGTCAAGGAGACTAGGATTTGTGATGGGTGAAAGCTGTGCACCTGGGTCAGTTTTGGTTTTCTGAAGTACCAGTTTACTATTTTCAGGCTCTTTCCTTCAAGGGAGGTTGTTCTTTATAAATGGCTTGGATCTAGGCTGTCCCAAGGCATTTGCTGTGACACTAATGCTGGAAGTACTGTTAATTCATTGAAGTTGGCTTCTAAAAACCTTCTGAAGAGAGCTGGAAAATGCTGAGGGATTTGGTTTATGCTCATGGGGGCTATTGTTTATAAGGCAGCGATTACACTATTGCAGAACAGGATGGGGAGCCTGGGCTGGAAAAAAAAAGCTAGGGTTGAGGGCAACGACAGATCCATATGCCTGGGTTCCTGGGCTAGCAGGGGGTCTGCTGGTCAGGGTTGGAGGGCACTGCCAGAGCTGTGTTCATGGAAAGCCAAGCCAGGAATAGCTGGGGGCCCTGTGAGTCAGGATTGAGGGACATTGGCAGAGCTGTGCAAGTGAAGCCTGTCTGCTTTGTAGCTGGCCTTAACCCATGTCCTGTATCCCCAGCAAGGCTCACCTGGCTTGAAGAGCACAATGGCCTTCATGCAAGCGAACTCTGTGGGGTCGACAGTGAGAGATTTGAAGCGGGTGATGGTTTCCTGCAGGATGCGGATGTCCACGCTGGCAGACACAAGCTTCCCGTGGACACTGGGGGAGAGCTCAGGCACAGAGAGTAGGGGGCAGTTCTCCAAGGGCATGGACCACTGGATAGCACAGAGCAGGAACAGCTCGCTCCAGGCTTCCTCCAGCAAAATCACCTGCCAAGGAGTCGGTGGGGGGGGATGCAAATGAGACATGTGAGCTCGAAGGGCAAAACTGTCTCTCCATTAAGTTCACTTCTGTGCAGATCTCATCAGTGAGACTGTGGGGATCTCTTCCCAAGTGCCAGACCTAGGTGGGCTCCTGGCCAAAGCATGCTTTGGTCTGGGTGCTCAAGGAGCTACCTACTGACTGAGGTTAGAGGGGCAGTGCACAGGCTGGAGCAGCTTTCAGCCTCAATGCTGACACATTTGTCATTCGGTTTCCACTGTAGCACGTCAGACCAGTTTAATCATTGTTAGCATTAACTGCAAGAGGTCCAGCCTCCATTCAGAGCTGACAGTGGAAGCGGATTTGTTACACATAGAGATCATGGGCATTAACAATGCTTCATGCAGGCAGCATAGGGGAGGTGACCTAAACGGCTTTGTCTCCAAAACCTCAAGCCATTGCTGTTTGAACTACAGGAGGCTCTGCTGAGGTGAGACCAGGGCTTAGTTCCCAGCCAGGAGATGGCAGGATGACCACGTGCTTGCTCTGGTCTGAGTCTAGTAGGCAGGGTCATTGACAGGCCCACGTGCATGCATGCATGCACACCCCAGCTCCTCCCACATAAGAACATAAGAATGGCTGGACAGACTAAAGATCTAGCTAGCCTGCTGCCCCGTCTCTCACAGTAGCAGTTAACGGTGCCTCAAACCACAGGCAGCCAGACTCACCTGGTCCCTGAAGGGCAGGTTGGAGAAGACCGGGAGGTTTTTTGCCCACTTCACTGCCATGAAGAGGAGCCGTGCGGAGGTCTCGTAGACACTCTCGGGGCTGGCAGATGGGTATGGGGACACCTGGTATTCACTGGAGGCCCGTTCAGGTTCATTCCCTGTTACATCAATGTTCTCGTCCGCTGTGGGAAGGAGAACGGCTGTGTCACTGGCAGCACGGCGTGGTGCTAGACCTACCCCAGCTGGCTCAGACACAGTGCCAGGCTCACTGGAAGGCCCAGCACTTATGGGCCAGGATGCAGACAGGCCCACAGCTTAGCACTGGGTTGTAAAGAGAGGGAACTGAAGCTGTCTTTCCTTTCCAATATACTCCAGGTTTTCCTGACACCTGCTTTGCAGTGGCCCCAGCCCATCCCTGCAGCATTGTCCTGCTTCCTGAGGACCTGAGAGTCTATGACCAGAGCCCTGGCTGTGCTGACTCCCCAGTCCTCTTTGTCTGAGGCACTCAGAGCACAAGAGGGACCCAGGGCAGATGAGGAAGCATCTAGGAGCCAGCACAACCTGTTGTTTAAGCGATGACAATGCTGTTTGTACTATGTGGGACACGGAGGAGATGGGGTACCTGTACAGTGCTGGTGAGACCTGGCTCCAGGCACAGGTAAGCTCTGCTTTGGACCTGTCCTCACTATCCCTTTGTATAGATGCGATTGAACCTTGTGACCCACGGGCTGGTGGCTGCCTTGCCCTGTGGGCACAAGCCCCGCACTCTGACGGAACAGGGTGACTGTGAGGGGCCCTCAGCCTGCCGGTGCCACCTACTACTAGCAAGATGCTTGGCAATGCCCAAGCCTGGCTCTTGCAGCATTTTGACCTCTGGTCCTTGCAAGGGCTGTTCTGAGAGGTCCCATTCAGGACCCTGTGGTGCTAGGAAGAGCTGTGCAGTCTGACTCCCCTGCCCCAGAGCCTGATAGCCACGTCACCACACGGACTCCTGGATTTCTGGGGGGCTGCCCTGGGGTGAGACTAAGTCCACAGGGATTGTTCCTTGAGGTTCATCGACAGAGCAGAGCTGTAGGAAAAGCCAAGCCCATTCTTCTGGACCAGGAGCTGAGTGATGGTGGGGAGGCAACTTGGCCAGGAAGCTGAGCCCTACCTTGCCCCACAGAGACGAAAGAGGGACCCAGCATCTGGAGGAAGGAACCCATGTAACTGTGGCCTTGAAACCTACTGAGCAGTCAAACCCAAGAGCCTTCTAGGCTCTGGGCTTCCACCCCCATCATGGCACCCACCCCATGCCCTGCCCATGAAGAACCTCTGGCCTCCACCCCCACAGGCACCCACCATCCTCAGGCTCCAGCTTGGCGCAGGTCTCCGCTGTCATCAGGCTGGCCATGAAGCGGTGGTTGCTGGGTGGAGTGGGTGCTCGGGGCCCTGGGGTTCCCACTGCTGCGGTGGAGGAGATGGGGCCCCGGAGGCTCACCACGGCAGGGCAGGGCGGTGGGGGGGCCTCCCGCGTGGTGGCCAGGTGCTCGGGCTTGAGCTCAGAGTCCAGCTCAATGCTGTCGAGTCGGACCTGGGCGGTGCTGCGGGGCTGGCGCTCGTTCTGCACAGCTGCGGAGGCAGGGCGCAGGGTTAGGAGAGGGCTGAGCAATGGGTAGGCAGCAGGAGTCCTGAGGCTGCCCATGCTATGCAGTCCCATCAGCTGCCCCCAACCCCCCTGCAGCATGGCTGGGGAGCAGGGGTCATCACTAGTCCCCTGCGCCCTTGGTCCTTTCGGCCAAGGGTGGAAAACCTCTCTACAACCAGCTGCTTGGAGGCCCGACTGCTGTAGTAGCTGCCAGCCCCGCTGTGCAGACAGAAAGGCCAAGCCCTAGTCATGCTGAGGGATATGTCTCAGCTCCCTTTGAGGCAGAAGCAGAGCAAGACACCTTGACCCTCCCCCCTGAGTCCAATGAGCTCTGCTGCCCTGGGCTCTCACTCTTGCCAACATCAGCTGAGCATCCCTTGGTCTCCTCCTCACCTGCCTCAGGGCTCTTGTGGCCTCACAGATGACAAGGGGGCCCAGGTGGCTGCCCCAGGTGCCTGTAGTGCTTCCTTGGGAACCACATCTATTGACCTTCCCTGACCCATCTCAACCCTGGCGCCCCCCACCCTGCACTCACCATCCTTGTTCATCCCCGCTTGCAGGCACTTCTTCAGCCTGCAGGCCTGGCACTGGTTCCTGTGAGCCTTGTCCACTGGGCACATCCCTGTCCCAGCCTGGCACCTGAAGGAAAGGAAGGCCACAGGCCCTGTTACGCTGGCCCTGATCACCTAGAGAAGTCTGAGGAAGGAGGTGGGAGGCTGCACCTGCCTAGGAGTAATTTGGTGCTCAGGCTACAACACTGTGGCAACATGACATCCACTCCAGGTGGGAGCAGTTTAGCAGGACCTCAGTGTGCCCAGGTCCTTGGAGCAGGAGGGCTGATGAAATGAGCTCACTGTCCTTTCAGACATCACAACCTATGGAAATGGGGCTGCTGAGGGCCAGAATTTGAAGTCAATGTACCAGGGTCTCGGAGCCGGAGAGGGGAGACCCAGCTGGGCGCAACCAGCAACTGCCCTGGATGCTCCCCAGTGCCACGATCTGCACACTTGGGTCAGCATCCTCTCCACAGGCCTTTCAGCCCCCTCTCACCCACTGGGCTCTGCAGGGCTGGCATGGCAGCAGCTTCATCGGTCTTTTGCTGGGTCCTGCTCATCATACCCAGCCCTGACCTATTCTTGTGTGCTCTGGGGTCTGCCCAGACATGCTCATGACACCCCTAAGAGGCAGCCAAGAAATAGGGCATGGGTGAGAGGCAGCAGAGGAGCTGCTGGTCCCCAAGCCCAGTGTTCTGCCAGGAGGAGGTGATTCTGACATCCTGCGTGAGTCCTGGCTCAAGGATGCTTGGTCTGGCTTACAGTGCTAGCTCAGAAGCTAAAGCCATATGGCTTGTTCCCACCCAGCTGCGCTTTCTTCCCCAGCACAGAGCCAGCCCTCCTCTCTCTCTCCTTGGAGCCTTTGTCTCCAGCACTGGGATGCAGGTCCCATACAGCGATGGCACCAAGCACACCACAGTGGCAGAGGATGGCCATTGGGTTCCCAGTGTGTGAAGCACCGCAAAGGGCACCTCGTGGGAGAGGACCCAGGTAGGGGCCAGTGGGTGGGGGAACCTGGGTCCAAGAATGTCAGTCTGTCTGCATTCACCAGCATTGAGCCAGGGAACACTTACAGGGACTGTTTCCAGATGATCCCTCAGTGCCAGCTTCTGGGGAATTACCGGGGGATGCTGTCATACCCCCACCACTCACAGAGCCAAGGGTTCTCTGCATGTAGTCCCTGCACCAGGGCTCAAACAGACTAGCTTTACCCTTGTCTCCTCTTACAGATGCTCCCCACCTCCCCCTGCACAAGAACGCCTGCCAGGCACATTTCCCCATGCCAGAAAACAGAGGGCAGAACAAAGCTGGTACAGTCCCACCACCACCCAGCATCTGCAGAGATGCCACCCTCTGCTTACCTGTAGATGAGCTTCCTCCTGACGCTCCTCTTGAAGAAGCCACTGCAGCCATTGCAGGCGTAGATGCCGTAGTGCTTCCCGCTGCTGGTGTCCCCACACACCTTGCACATGAGCACAGGGCTCAGGGCCTTACCGGGGGTCGGGCTGAGCCCTGAGAGGATGAGAGGGAAATTGGCACTGGGGGCTTGCAAGCATCTCCCTCCTGGACAGGAGCACAGCAGGTACGGCCCAGCTAGCCTGGGAGGTGCCAGCTCAGCACGGGCACAATGTGCAGCCCTGGGCTGGCAAGAGCTGGAGTTGGGGAGAAGCATATCTGGTGGGCTCAGAGAAGACAGCTCAGAGGCTGGACACATGGGCACATTGTGTAGAGCTTGTTCCTCCCTTACATAAGGTGGAAGCACCTGGCCCCCTCGCCCTGTGTTCAGACCCTACAGCCCTGCCTCAAAGGCCCAGGGTGTCAAGGGCTGTGAGAGTAGTCAGAAGCCAAGAGAGACATCCCCATCCCCCCCAGTGGTGAGGGAGACTGGGGCAGCCTGGCATGAGACAACGCAGAGGGACGGGAACAGGTGGCTGGGCTAGTGCAGGCAGCTGGGCCCTGCTGGTTGCCACATCTCCTGCCCCAGGAACTAGGGGCTGAGAGTGGACAGCAGCAAATTGGTGGCTGCTAAAAGGGAATCTCCGGTATGCGGCACCCACTGGTTGGAGACTCATCTCCATGAGGGATTATGGTGGCATGAGAGGCCGTCACAGAGCCTCACACACTGATGTGCCTGATACCAACATCCCTAATGTAGTGGTACCTGCTTATGGGGGACAAATCCTTCTGCCTCCGATGGGGGCTGGGAGGCAGCTGTGCTGGGTGGTGGTACCACTGTGCTGGGTGCAGGACAGCCACAAGGCAAATGGCTCCTGCCCCCAAGATCTGTGAGGCCAGCACAGTGCCAGGCAGGGCTCCTTGGGTAGTGGCAGGATTTGTGGCACTGAAGAAATACAGTCTGATGGGCAGGGGCTGGATCTCCACTGGAGTCTCATGGCTTAAGACTCTCCTCAATATTTCCCTCAGGCCTGGAGCTCCTAGTGTTTCCGTAGGGCCAGCAAAGGAAGTGGACACAGTAGCTGCTGGAAACTGGTTTCTATCTTAGTGTCCTGGCAGTCCTGAACTCTCTGAAGCGCCTAACTGTGGTGACCAAAGCTTCCCAGTGGATGCTGTGCTGTCATCCTCCCCCCTGTAGCTAAGGTATATACAAAGCCCCAAAGGACCATGCTCCAGGCACCCCTGGCCTGTAATCCTCCCAATGGCCCTAGGAGGTGCTGTCCCCTTTGCAGGGACACGGGATTGATCCCACATCCTCAAAGGTTTCATAGATATCTTAGATTTCATAGACATTAGGGCTGGAAGGGACCTCGTGGGATCATCTGGTCCAGCCCCCTGCCCAAGGGCAGGAAGTCAGCCGAGGTCAGAGGACCCAGGCAAGATAATCAGCCAAATGCATCTTGCATGTATGCAGAGTAGGTGCTTGCAGGGATTGTGATTTCCAGCTTCTATTGGCACCAATGGGTGTGGGAGGGTTGTGTCAGAGCATCTAGGAGCGATAAGACATGGAGCTACTTCAATGCACAGAGAGGTGTCTGGGGACCTCCCTGACCACTGCCCACCCACCCCGAGGAGATCTACCCTCCTTCCAGGGGCTTTGGTCTCCCCAGAGCCACCTGGGTTGGAGCACTCGCTCCCCCTCCTGTCACTGCCCACAGGTCTCCTGCCTTACCAGGAAGACATCTGCTTAGAGCTAGATGGCTGTGAGGGCCACAGAGCCCGATGCATCTCTCCCAGCCACCTCCCCGGTGCTGATAACCCCTTCTCCACTGAGTGTCCTCGCCCACTGCCCAGCACTGCTGGCTAGTGTGGCAGGTGCTGATGAATGTGACCCATGTGTGGGGGGCAGCGGGAAGGCCTGTAGAGCTGCCTGTGGCTATTTGTACCCCTGTGGACAGTTCTCTCACCAGATGGTCCCAAGGCCATGGACCTCTGGCTCGCAGCCCTGGGCTCAAGCAGCAGGCTGCCACAGCGGCAACAATGTGCAGCCAAACTAAGCAGCACCTGCCTCCTCCCCGACCTTTGGCCTGACTCCACAGAGGCTCAAGGACAGGTTGGGCCTTCACCCTAAGCCACAGACCCCCCCTTGGGCTTGTGTTGGGATCCCAAGGCTTGGGGGCTTCAGTAGCCATGAGCATGTGGATGTGCAGCCCTGAGCTCTGCCTGCTCCGGCACTGCAACTCCCATAGCAGTGGCCAACGTGGAGTCAGGAGCCCAGGCCCTTTGCCAGACCCACCAATGATTCCTCAGGAGGTTGCCAACCCACTACAACCTAGGAGAGGAGCCCAGAAGTAGAGAGATGAAAGGCTGCACCCAGGCTGGTTTCTGCTGATGGGTGAATGGGGGAGTGGTGCTTCAGGGACCTGTACCCCCCAGGGTGGCAGGAACCCAGAAGCCATGCCCCTTGGCACCCCAGTGCATCTCAGTCCCATCCAGTAGCACAGCAGGGAGCCAAGGCATCCAGGTCCCTGGCGGCAGAGGGAAAGCTGGCTGCCATGTAGGATAGCTTTTCTGCCCACCCTTGCCACATACTACCCAGCTGCTGCCACAGAAAAGTAGGATCCAGCCCAACAGCTACAGGCAAGGGAGACAGAGCCTCTTCAGCCCCTGACACTGCCAGGACTGCTGAGTGGGAGGTGGCAGGCAGGGGTGGCACAGCTCCTCCAGGGCTGAAAGCCCCATTTGGCCCCCAGGAGTGGCTTCTACTGCCCTCCCAGGGAGCAGGGCTCTCAGGGGCAACCAAAGGCCTGGTGCTTTGCTTCTTCCATGTGCTGTGGCCAGGACCGGAGCTCCCCAGCATGTGAAATGCCCGACACTGGGCCAGAAAGATGCTGCCTTAGCCAGGTTGGCCACTGAGCTGGGGGAATTGGGGCCTTCAAGTCCCATAATGTTTTCCTCTGGGAACCAGCCCTTTCTGTACTACTGCCTCTCTCCAGTGTAGAGTGAATGGCTGGGGGAGGCGTGGGGGGCAGAGGAGTCTGCAGCTCCAGTCCCAGCTCTGTTCTGACTTGCCAGGGAGCCTGGACTCGGCAGCTGCAGCCTCCCTGGGGTCTTGGCTACCCCACTCCATAAACAGGGACATTGGTCCTTATCCTCTTTTGCAAAGTGATTGGAAACTGCTCCCCTTTGATACATTGCAAACCCCCACCAAGGGGGCAAAACCCTTTTCCCCTGGGGGCAACAGGGACCTGCAGCCTGTGGGTCTAATTAGCCCAAAGGCTTTGTCTCCATGCAGAACTCCCCAGCCCCCCGGACGGCCCAGGGCTCTTAGTGCTTTCTCAGAGCTCATTTCTGTTTCTCCCACCTGCAGGAGTAGGAGAAGCAATCCTGTCTGACAGTGCTGCTAACTGTGGTGATGTTCCCTCAGGGCTCACGAGATGCCGTGTTGTCTCAAAGCCCATCTCCTGGAGACAGGTGATTCTACGAGCTTGTCCTAGTTTTTAAAGTGACAGATTCACAAATCAGGAAACCTGAAGGCTCAAGATCCAAAAAACCCAATAAAAAGAGTCCGGGATTTATGTATTCGTTTTCTAAGCCAGTCTCATGAGTTCAGGGACCTGATTCAGGCTTTGCCTGGGTTTGGCAACTCTGCTCAGGAACATTGCTCCTTTGGCCTTCCCAGCTGGTGTGGCCTTTTGTGTCCTCTAGACCGTGGTAGCCCCTGTCTGTATATCTCATTGCTCTGGACAGAGGAAGGGCACATCTCTGCCCCCAGCACTGCTTCACCTGTGTCCAGCATCGCTGACCCTGCCCCATCCTAACTCATGAGATTGCAGTGTTCAGCTGGTGGCCAACATGTGGAAGAGCTGAGGAAGTCTATCTTCAGATGGTCCCCCAACTTGCCTGTTTTAAGTGGCCCAAACCCTCTAGTCACTGGGCATCCCCACCCAACTCAGACACCCATCCACAGGTACCCTCAGAGTTGCTTCTAGTTCCCACAGCAACCCTAAGCATAAAGCCACCTGGACGCATGGCTCAGGACCGGCTCTTACCTGACTGGCTGTCCTCCAGCCCAGCGCTCACAACCGACTCTGAGGGCGAGCTGGACATGCTGCAGGTCCTGGTGGCCGCTGCGCAAGCTCTCTGTCCCAGGGGGTGGAAGTGCCAACTCCTTAGCTTTACTGCTCAGATCCTCCCCAGGCTGCAAGGGGTGACCTGTTGCTCCACTCAATCCATCAGCAACCTCCCTGGAAGGATGTGAGATCCTGGGAGGAGGTGAGGTCCTGGCTACCTTGCAGCCTAATCAAGGCAGAGCGGGACCTCAAGCTGCCAGATGCTCTCCATGGTGGGCTGCAGTCCGGGGAGCTGGGCTCGGAGCCCCTCCAGTGCGGCCGGCTGGTTGCGTGTGCGCGTATGTGCGCGCGTCTTGCTCTCTTCAAGGCTCCTACTAAAGCAGAGCCAGGAAGATTAGTTCTTAACGCTGTGTAAGCAGATGCCTATTTGTCATCCTCTTAATCTTTAGTGTCTCCGCAAAGGTGGATCAATCAGCCACACTATGAAGAATTAAAAAGGTGCTGAGACCCGGCTGCACAGAGCCCTGCCTGGAGCCAGCGCCCTGTAACCCTAGACCCAGTGACACCAAACCCGCCTGCTGTGCTCTGCCCACAGACACTCAACAAAACAAGCCCCCTGCCCTGGCCCTCTCTATGCTCTTTTCTGTTCCTCGTGTAGGATGATTATAGCTTATTTGTTCAGCCTTCACTCTGGATGGCAGCGGTGAACCTTGGCTCCATTCTCCCCCTGTACATCTGATCTGTCTCACACCCTGCCCCCTTGCTAGCAGGCCTGGGGAGCGATTAACATCATTTTGCCTCCTGAAGGGTTTTCAGAAAGGGGGAGGGAATGAGCCATCCATTATCCCAGGGCAGCAGCTAATCATAACTCAATATTTCATGAGGTGCTTTTTCCCAGGCAGGTAAATGCACCTGATTCTCAGAGCTGGCTATGAGAGTTATTGCTGCATTATAGATGAGGGGAAAGGGAGGAGCCCGGGGCAGGTAATTACAAGGGCTGTAGGAGAAGGGGCTTCCACTTACACGGTGATCTCCAGGCAAGGCTGAGGGCCACTGGAAAAGTTCACAGCATGCTGAGGGAGTTCATGGAGAGCTCCCTGTGATGGAGGCTGGGCCAGGCCATGGCTCCGTTGAACCACTGCAGCACGCAGCGTGGCCTGTGACCTTCCTGGGGAGGAAGGTATTAATGGAGGAGCCCAAGCCACCTGATCTTGCCCTGGCTCCAAGGATCTGAGACCCAGGCCTGGTGACTGACAGGTGAGGGCTCAGACTCAGCCCTGTAGGGCGAGGACTGGGGAGGTAGACTGAGTTGGGGCCTGCTCTCAGCTGGAGATGTCTCTTCAATGGAGACTCCGTGTGCTTGAGTTTGTCAGTCCAAGGAGCCCATGTCCGGGAAGTACCAGGAGATATGTAGTGCAGGTCGTTGCAACGAGTCACCAAGCTGTTTCTTGCCTGGGAGTCGTGTCTCGTGGGCCCAGACAGCCCCACTGCTCACTGCCTGGGTGCCTCCTCCACCACCCTGCTTACCAGGGGTGCAGTCTGCGACGCGTGGTGAAGGGTGTTAGGGCAGGGGGATTAATTAGGACTGAGAGATAGACAGATGGCTGAGATCTACCATATCAGGGAGCGATGAGTGGATATTCTTTTCCTGTCAGCATTACCAGTCCCAAGATTTCAAACCTGGAGATATTTCCTCCCCCACCAAGAGGGTTAAAAATAATATATGCTGAGTTCTTGTTATGTCTTATGGATTTTCAGCTGTCAAGAGCCACATTTTCCAGCTTTCCTCTGCACCAAAAAGTCCAGAACTGAACAGTGCTTTGTCCAGGGGCTAAAAGTCCCGCAATCCCAGGAGCTGGGCTTTTAAAGACATTAGCAACCCTTGTGTGATACATAATAAAGTCAGAATGGGTTGAAGCACTGCCCTGTGTGCTTGGAATATTTAATTAAAGCTTCATTCTGAAAACAGTCCCATTATGGTAACACTTTGAGGTCACATGCAGTCCTGATGCACACTCCCTGCCCCAGAGAACTGGCAGTCTCTGTGGGGCGATCAGCTTGCTCAGTCACCCAACAAAGCAGAAGCTCTCCTGCTTCCCAGCCCAGTGCCCAGACCACATAGCATAAAGACATGTGCACAGAGCCCAATTCAGAGGTGTTTGATTAGCCAGAGCAAAACTATGAATGAGCAAAGCAAGGAGCATCTTCCCCCAAATCAACCCATCCCACCACACTCTGGGTGATCTTGGCCGCTGGCAGTTAGCCAGCCCCTGTAATGCCTAGTGAAGCAATTCTCAGCTAGAAGGGGTGCAGCATCCTGGGGGCCTGGGAGATCCTTTTAATGTGATACACAATATTAGCACTGTTTGATATGCAAGCTTCTCCAGGTAAACCCAAAGAGATTTCAAATAGGAATCCATAGAGTCAAAACCATTGTGACCTGCAGTGGTCTTTCTGAGTTCTTTGCAACAGAGGAATTTTTCCATAGTCAAATTACCCTTAGTTTTTTAAGCTAAGAGGTGGCATTTTTCAAGGGCTGCCTTCTGTTTAATGAGGCTGAGAACCACTGATCTAGTATAACCAGCCAGAATAATACATGGTGCACAGCTTATACAGTGCTGCCTGCCTTATCCCCTAAACTATGGTAATTACTGGGTGTGCTCACACACTCACTGCAATCCCTCTCAGCTAATCCATTTATACTGTTTAAATAAGAAGGAGGGGATGGGTGGAAATGACAAAACAGGTTTAATGGAGTCTGGTTGTTTAAGAAAACTGATTAGCCACTGGGTTCAAATAGCAGCTCTGAGTCCATCAGTCCCTATGACTAGACAAAGGCCATATGGCGGTGGATGCTTCATCAGCTATTAGCAGCATGGTTGTCATTTGTCCACTGTTCTCATCTCTCTCCTGTCTCCTCTCTTCCTCTTTTGCTCTTCTCCCTCATATCCCCGCATGCCTGGCCTCTGGTTGTAGGTATGTGCTGGGAAGCAGAGCTGGTGCTCCAGGCTTTACAACTGCATTGCATGGACATCCTTCCCTCCAGGATGAGCTGCAACCTCCTCCTGGCTGTCCCATGGCCCATGTAAAGTGAGGGCACCTCTCCCAGCCTGCAAAAGTCTTCCCCAGGTGACATAAATGGGCTCCCTCAACCACAGACTCAGCACTGGGGAAAGGGACTGACTAAAACCTGGAACACAACATTCACCTCTCCCTGTCTCTGTTGGGTGCATGAATGGGCTGCCAACGGGAGAACCAGCCCTGAAATCTAGAGTTGCTACCCAAAATCCTGAGTTTGGCCCAAAACCAGAAGACTTTTTGATTAAAATATGATGTATGCTGGGCTGTCCACTCCCCACTGGTAGATGCTAGTTACTGTGTTGCCAGCTGTTCTCGGTGTATGATGAGCATGGTGACTGGCCCCAGCTAGACAACCACGCCACTGGGCTAGGTCAGTGATTCTCACTGGAGGTGCCATGACACCCTGAGATGCTGAGACATGCTTTTAAGGTTGCATCCAGCCTCCTGGAAGGGGTGTGCAGGGATCACGTGGAGAGGAAGGAGAGGCCAGCTGGTTTGGCCCAGCCAGGATGTGATGGGGCTGTCACCCCCAGCTGCTCATGGAGGAGTCTAGGGAGGATGCGCTGGTGGAGAACAGCTGCAGCTGCTTGCAAGAAAGCAGTAAAGGGAGAAGCAGGACCTGCAGGGTGGGCCCAGACAGTAGAGCAGGGAGGGGATCTGAGGGCACCAGTGCTGCCAGTGGGTGGCTGGTACAGAGTTGGGGCTTACGGCAGTGCCCTTGTTGGAGCAGGAGGCTGGGCATGCTGCTGCCAGGGCTCGCTGCTCTGGAGGGAATGCAGCCCTCGGCCTGCCTTGCGGAGGAGCTGGCACTTGCAGGCAGCAACATGAAGTCTCAGTTTCTCACAGAGGTGTTGCAAACCGGTCTCTATCCTGCAATCCAGGGGTGGGTCCAGAGCGGTTACAATGGTACAGCTGCTTCCTCCCCAACTTTTGAACTGGATCACATCCCAGGAGCCCCCGTCTTGCCCCTCCATGCTTAGAAGCAGGTTCCTCCTTCCCATTTCCCTCCTCCTCTTCTCCCTCACCTGCTGCTCCTGTTTTTCCCACTGTCCCAAAGAAAGTGCCTATCCCAAGGAGCTCAGGCCCAGCTTCTCAAGGGCCTGAGTTAGCTGCCTAACTCCCACTGTAAGCAGTGGGAATGAAATAACTTTGAGGAGATGGGCCTCCCTGTCCAGCAGGGCAGGCTGCACAAGCCCACCGGGGACCCAAGTCCACACTCAGCTGGGGGGCAGCGCTGGGGGTAGCTCAAGCTGAGCTCCATGTTGCGCTGGCTTCACTGCTCTGGGGACCCGAGCGGGCTGATGAAAGCTCTGGCTGGGGGGTCTACATGTCGCACTGGTGATGGGGTGGGTAAACCCACAGTCTGGTGCACACATGCAAGCCTCCGACGCACAACTTACACCTGGGTTATTCATATCAGTTGGGCAAACCAAAGCCATAATTAACCAGTTGTGTGCCTGGGCAGCACCCAGAGCTCATGCCCCACTTGCCACCCACTGTTACCCTACTGGAACAAACCTCTGCAAATTACGCTGGCCTCAGGAGTGAACAGAGCACCAGATTTCCCCAGCAGACTACAGAGTACAATTACCATATCTATCCACTAGATGCTGGAGGTAACAGCTGTTTTGCACTGCAGTTCGGATGGCACACTGGAGATTGCATTTGATGTCTGAGGTAACAGGTCAGGATAAGTGCAGATTACTCCAGATTTTGGGGGGGGGGGGGGG